GCCACACCAGTCGCCACGTCGACCACGGCACCTGACGAAGGACTCCGGCACTCCAGGTACCCCAGCTCTGGGGCTGGTCCAGGCAACAGTGAGGGGCAGGCCGCCTGAGCCACTGCCAGGAAGAGGACACCTGGACACCCAGAGTGGACCAAGCCTCCTGGTCACTGCTTACCTCTCAGCTGTCCCTCCCCTGAATGGGAACACAGGGAAGCAAGAGAAAGACCAAAACCAACCTGGAGAAGGCAGGGAGCCAAGACCCGGGGATAGAACAGGGCAGGGTGGGGTCTGAGGCTGAGGGTTGGGGAACATGCAGAGGGTATGGACAGTGGGCTGGGTGGAGATCAGCCAGGAAGGTAGCCACCAGCCCATGGTCGGGGGGAAACTGTGGAGAATGGCCCCTGTGCTGGACTCCACAGCAGGCCAGCTTGTGGTCACGTCCTCTGGCCTGAGCTGGCCTGACTAAGGGAGTCTGGACAAGGCTGGACTGGGCCAAATGCGGCTTGAATGGGTAGACCTACTTAAAGGGAGATGAGGTATCTCCCTTTATTGGGCCAAGTTGGTCAGTCTGGACTCTCAGATATGCTGGCCTGTGATGGGCTGTGAATTGAATGGACCTTCACTTGGGGTGAGGCTGGCCAGGCCAGGCTGAGCTGGGCTATTCTAGACCCGGCGAGTTTAGACAGGCAGGTCATAGTCAGACTGGTCCAACTGAGGTAGCCTGGACTGGACTGTCCTTGGTTGGCTGAGCTGGATACCACTGAGTTCGATGATGCTGACCTGAACTGGGCATCAGTCTGCTGAACTGAGCAGGGAAGTCAGAAAAAGCTGGGCTCAGCAGAGTAGAGCCAAGCTAGAGAAAGCCAGGTGATGGAATGGGCTATGTTGGCATACCTGGGCAGAGCTGGGCTAGACTGGTCTGTTCCCTGGGCAGGGCTGAGCTGAACTGGGCTGAAATGGGATAAGCTGGACTAAACTGGGCTGAACTGGGCTGAGCAGAACTGAACTGGGCTGAACTGGGCTGAGATGAACTGGGCTGAACTGGGCTGAAATGGGATAAGTTGGACTAAACTGGGCTGAGCTGGGCTGAGCAGAACTGAACTGGGCTGAGATGAACTGGGCTGAGCTAAGCTGAACTGGGCTGAGATGAATTGCACTGAACTGGGCTGACCTGGGCTGAGCTGGGCTGAGCTGAGCTGAGCTGAGATAAACTGGGCTGAGATGAACTAGGCTGAACTGGGCTGAGCTGATACAAGCTGGGCTGAGCTGAGTTAGGCTAACTAGGCTGAGCTGAGCTGAACTGAGATGAGATGAGGTGAACTGGGCTAAGTAGAGCTGAGATAAACTGGGCTGAGCTGAGATGAGATGAACTGGGCAAGGCTGAGCTGAGCTGAGCTGAGCTGAGCTGAGCTGAGCTGAGCTGAGCTGAGCTGAGCTGAGCTGAGCTGAAATAGGCTGAGCTAGGCTGAGCTGGGCTAAGTTAAGCTGAAATGAACTGGGCTGAGCTGAGCTGGGATGAGCTGAGATGAGATGAACTGGGCTGAGCTGAGCTAGGTTGAGTTGAGCTGAACTGAGATAAACTGGGCTGAGCTAAGCTGAGCTGAGCTAAGCTGGGCTGAACTGGGCTGAGTTGAGATGAACTGAGCTGAACTGGGCTGAGCTGATACAAGCTGGGCTGAGCTGAGTTGGGCTAACTAGGGTGAGCTGAGCTGAACTGAGCTGAACTGAGATGAACTGAGCTGAGGTGAACTGGGCTGAGATGAGATGAGATGAACTGGGCTAGGCTGAGCTCTGCTGAGCTGAGCTGAGCTGAGCTGAGCTGAGCTGAGCTGAGCTGAGCTGAAATAGGCTGAGCTGAGCTGAGCTGGGCTAAGCTAAGTTGAGATGAACTGGGCTGAGCTGAGCTGAGCTGGGATGAGCTGAGATGAGATGAACTGGGCTGAGCTGAGCTGAGCTGAGCTGAGCTGAGCTGGGCTGAACTGGGCTGAGATGAACTGGGCTGAGATGGGCTGAGATGAACTGGGCTCAGCCCAGATAAGATGAGATGATGAGATGATGAGATGAGATGAGATGAGATGAGATGAGATGAGATGAGATGAGATGAGATGAGATGAGATGAGATGACGAGATGAACTGGGCTGAGCTGAGCTGAGCTGAACTGGGCTGAGCTGAGCTTTGCTGAGCTGGGTTGAGCTGGGCTGGGCTGAGCTGGGCTGAGCTGGGCTGAGCTGGGCTGAACTGGACTAAGCTGAGCTTTGCTGAGCTAACCTGGACTGAACCAGGCTGAGCTGGGCTGAGCTGGGCTAAGCTGAACTGAGATGAACTGAGCTGAACTGAGCTGGGATGAGTTGAACTGAACTGAGATAAACTGGGCTGAGCTGAGCTGAGCTGAGATGAACTGGACTCAGCCAAGATGATGATGAGGAGATGAGATGAGATGAGATGAGATGAGATGAGATGAGATGAGATGAGATGAGATGAGATGAGATGAGATGGGCTGAGCTTTGCTGAGCTGAACTAAGCTGAGCTGAACTGAGCTGAGCTGAACTGGGCTGAGCTCAGCTGAATTGAGCTGAGCTGGGCTGAACTGGGCTAACTGTGCAGAGCTGAGATTTGCTGAGCTGTACTAGGCTCAACTGGGCTGAGCTGAGCTGGGCTGAATTGGGCTGAACTGGGCTGAGCTGGGCTGAACTGGGCTGAACTGGGCTGGGCTGGGCTGAGCTGGGCTGAGCTGAGATTTGCTGAGCTGAGCTGGGCTGAGCTGAGCTGAGCTGGGCTGAGCTCAGCTGAATTGAGCTGAGCTGGGCTGAACTGGGCTAACTGTGCAGAGCTGAGATTTGCTGAGCTGTGCTAGGCTCAACTGGGCTGAGCTGAGCTGGGCTGAATTGGGCTGAACTGGGCTGAACTGGGCTAAACTGGGCTGGGCTGAGCTGGGCTGAGCTGAGATTTGCTGAGCTGAGCTGGGCTGAGCTGTGCTGAGCTGGGCTGAGCTGGGCTCAACTGGGCTGAGCTGGGCTCAACTGGGCTGAGCTGGGCTGAGATGATGAGCTGAGATGATGATGAGATGAGATGAGATGAGATGAGATGAGATGAGATGAGATGAGATGAGATGAGATGAGATGAGATGAGATGAGATGAGATGAGATGAGATGAGATGAGATGAGATGAGATGAGATGAGATGAGATGAGATGAGATGAGATGAGATGAGATGAGATGAGATGAGATGAGATGAGATGAGATGAGATGAGATGAGATGAGATGAGATGAGATGAGATGAGATGAGATGAGATGAGATGAGATGAGATGAGATGAGATGAGATGAGATGAGATGAGATGAGATGAGATGAGATGAGATGAGATGAGATGAGATGAGATGAGATGAGATGAGATGAGATGAGATGAGATGAGATGAGATGAGATGAGATGAGATGAGATGAGATGAGATGAGATGAGATGAGATGAGATGAGATGAGATGAGATGAGATGAGATGAGATGAGATGAGATGAGATGAGATGAGATGAGATGAGATGAGATGAGATGAGATGAGATGAGATGAGATGAGATGAGATGAGATGGGCTGAGCTTTGCTGAGCTGAACTAAGCTGAGCTGAACTGAGCTGAGCTGAACTGGGCTGAGCTCAGCTGAATTGAGCTGAGCTGGGCTGAACTGGGCTAACTGTGCAGAGCTGAGATTTGCTGAGCTGTACTAGGCTCAACTGGGCTGAGCTGAGCTGGGCTGAATTGGGCTGAACTGGGCTGAGCTGGGCTGAACTGGGCTGAACTGGGCTGGGCTGGGCTGAGCTGGGCTGAGCTGAGATTTGCTGAGCTGAGCTGGGCTGAGCTGAGCTGAGCTGGGCTGAGCTCAGCTGAATTGAGCTGAGCTGGGCTGAACTGGGCTAACTGTGCAGAGCTGAGATTTGCTGAGCTGTGCTAGGCTCAACTGGGCTGAGCTGAGCTGGGCTGAATTGGGCTGAACTGGGCTGAACTGGGCTAAANGGCTGAGCTCAGCTGAATTGAGCTGAGCTGGGCTGAACTGGGCTAACTGTGCAGAGCTGAGATTTGCTGAGCTGTACTAGGCTCAACTGGGCTGAGCTGAGCTGGGCTGAATTGGGCTGAACTGGGCTGAGCTGGGCTGAACTGGGCTGAACTGGGCTGGGCTGGGCTGAGCTGGGCTGAGCTGAGATTTGCTGAGCTGAGCTGGGCTGAGCTGAGCTGAGCTGGGCTGAGCTCAGCTGAATTGAGCTGAGCTGGGCTGAACTGGGCTAACTGTGCAGAGCTGAGATTTGCTGAGCTGTGCTAGGCTCAACTGGGCTGAGCTGAGCTGGGCTGAATTGGGCTGAACTGGGCTGAACTGGGCTAAACTGGGCTGGGCTGAGCTGGGCTGAGCTGAGATTTGCTGAGCTGAGCTGGGCTGAGCTGTGCTGAGCTGGGCTGAGCTGGGCTCAACTGGGCTGAGCTGGGCTCAACTGGGCTGAGCTGGGCTGAGATGATGAGCTGAGATGATGATGAGATGAGATGAGATGAGATGAGATGAGATGAGATGAGATGAGATGAGATGAGATGAGATGAGATGAGATGAGATGAGATGAGATGAGATGAGATGAGATGAGATGAGATGAGATGAGATGAGATGAGATGAGATGAGATGAGATGAGATGAGATGAGATGAGATGAGATGAACTGGGCTGACCTGGGCTGAACTGGGTTGAGCTGAGCTGAACTGGCTGAACTGGGCTGAGCTGAACTGGGCTGAGCTGGGCTGAGGTGAGCTAGGTTGAGCTGGACTGGACCCAGATTGGTCAAACAGAACCGTGCTGTTTTCTGAGGCCCACTTGACTTAGCTCAGTTGTGCTAAATTGAGCTCAATTTACTGAGGAAGATTGCCCTTGGCTGGCAGGTTGAGATGGGCTGAGCAAGAGTGAATTTGGTTTAATTTTGTGGACTGAAGTAAGATCAGTTTCACAGCTTGACATGCTCTATTCTAGGCTAATCTGGGCCAAGATGGTCCACGGTGGGCTCTCTGGAGCTGAGCTGCACTGACACAGGCTGAGCTGGGCTGGGCTGGCTGCACAGAGCTGGTTGGTCTCAGCTGGGGCTGGCTGTCCTGACACAGGGTCACCAGGAGTGTGTTCAGGTGGACCAGAGGAGCAGAGTGGAGCAGAATGGGTGGAGCTAGGCCAGGGTAGGGTGGGCTGAAGTCTGGGGTTTCCAGGCCAGGGGAAGGGCAGGAGGAGTTGCCTGCTGGAGGAGGAACTGAAGTGGGCTCTGAGGGCCCTCTGTCCTCTCTCCATGGAGCCTGAGTTGGACTCCCTCAGGCGGCCAGCAGGGAGAGTAGAGCACCAGGGAAGCCTGGCCGGTCAGTGAGGGGTGGGGTGAAGGGGCACGCACAGCTGCAGAGAGCAGAGCCCAGTGAGCAGGAGGTGGGGAAAGGGACACAAGAGTGATTCTTAGGGAGCTACGTGCTCTGAGCCTCAGCCTGGAAAAACAGCTGGTGCCTCTACTGCTTGAGATCCCATGTTCTGACCACTACAGGCTGAGGGTAGGGACCCTGACCAAGGGTGGAGGCAGCAACAGCTTCTGGGAGGGTGCAGGGTCCATCGAAGGATGTCTGGGAGAAATGAGGGAATGAGCCCAAAACAAACCCAGGCTATTCTGTCCCCTGGGGTGGAACAAGGGTCCAGTGCTCCCTCCACTAGGCCACCCCGCCTCCTCCACACAGTGCTCCCTCCCCAGCTCCCCGGGGCCCTGGGAGTGGATGCCCCAGGTCGGAGGTCAGCCAGCACTGATGTAGCCCTGGTTCCATTCCACAGCCTCCAGAGAGGACCCAAAGGTCTTCCCCTTGGCCCTCTGCCCCAAAGATGCCCCCAAGGGGGGCGCCTCCGTGACACTGGGCTGCCTGGTCAGGGACTACAACCCAGAGCCAGTGATCGTGACGTGGGATGCAGGGTCTCTGACAAAGAGCGTCGTGACCTTCCCGGCCACCTTAGACTCGACCTCTGGCCTCTATACCACCACCAGCCAGGTGACTGCCTCTGGCGAATGGGCCAAACAGAAGTTCACCTGCAGCGTAGAGCACGAAGGGTCCACCACCGTCAACAAGACCTTAAGCAGTGAGCCAGGTAGGTCCCAGTACCGCCAGGAGGCTGCTGTCAGAGGACAACAAGGGACAGGAGGGGGCAGTGGAGGGGGCTCAGATGCTGCTATGCTGGTCACCCCCAGAGAGCCTGGGGCCCTGGGCTGGGAGGCGGGGTTCCGAGGCTCAGAGAGGCCTAAGTCAGGCTGGCCGTTCCTGCCCACAGCATGCTCCCCGAACATCACCCAGCCCACTGTGAAGCTCTACCACTCCTCCTGCGACCCCAGCGGCAACACCCACGCCACCATCCAGCTCCTGTGCCTTGTCAGTGACTTCGCTCCAGGTGACATCGAGGTCATCTGGCTGGTGAATGGGCAGAAGACCACGGACACATTCCCCTACTATGGCCCCACCAAGCAGGAGGGTAAACTGGCCTCCACCTTTAGCCAGCTCAATGTCACCCAGGGCCAATGGGTATCCCAGCACACCTACACCTGCCAGGTGAACTATCAAGGCTGCACTTTTGAGGCCCATGCCCGCAACTGCCCAGGTACAGTACCCCCAGGCCTACGGCCCCCCCAACTCTAGGGGCTGAGAGGGTCCCTGCGCAGCCTCACACAGCCCCTCCCGCACACCACAGAGTCTGAGCCCCGAGGCGTGAGCGTCTACCTGATCCCGCCCAGCCCCCTCGACCTATACATCCACAAGTCGCCCAGCCTCACCTGCCTGGTGGTGGACCTGGCCAGCCAGGATGGCACGAGCCTGCAGTGGTCCCGGGAGAGTGGGGGCACCCTGGCCAAGGCCACCGAGAAGAGCAGACTCCACTTCAACATGACGTACACCGTCACCTCCACCCTCCCGGTGGACGTCAACGACTGGATCGAGGGCGAGACCTACACGTGCAGGCTGAACCACCCGCACTTGCCCAAGGACATCGTGCGCACCATCGCCAAGGCCCCAGGTGGGTGAGCCACGGGCTGAGGGAGGGTGGCTGGGCTCCTCCCGCCCCTGGAGCCCGGGCTGACCCCATCCTGTCCGCAGGCAAGCGTGCGGCCCCCGAGGTCTACGTGTTCCTGCCACCCGAGAAGGAGCAGGGGACAGAGAGCACGGTCACCCTCACGTGCCTGGTCCAGAATTTCTTCCCTGCGGACATCTCCGTGCAGTGGCTGCGCAACAAAGACTTGCTCCCGACCGGCCGCCACACCACCACGCGGCCCCTCAAGGACAGCGGCCCCAGCCCGGCCTTCTTTGTCTTCAGCCGCCTGGAGGTCAGCCGGGCCGACTGGGAGAAGAGAAGCAACTTCACCTGCAAAGTGATCCACGAGGCTCTGCCAGGCTCCAAGACCCTCGAGAGATCAGTGTCCAAAGGCCCTGGTAATTGATGCCCCGCCTCCCGCCCCCTTCCGGGCTCCGTCCCCC